CACACACACACACACACACACACACACACAGTGGCAGGTCAATAGCAGATAAAAGGCTGCAGCAGCTTTTCCCTCAGCGCTGCCTTCAGGTGCAAAGCGCTGCAGTGCTGTGTTTAAGGACCTGTACAATAGTTGATTATAGCGAGAACACTCCCTCTCTGTCTGGTTACGACCGCCGTCCTCGGCTGCTCGGGAGGAAATACGGTCACGACTGAGGTTAGCCTAACTGACCGTGTTACAGGTGTGTGGCACGCAGTGACAGGTAACACCATTTGGCGTGCAGAGCATAAACATGCCATTTAAAGGGCGTTGGTTTGAAGCCCGTGTGTCTGACAAAGGGTTGGTTCTAGACCGACGCGTACACAGCTCGGTCTGGCGCTCTGTGATTGGATCAGGCTTGCACCTGGTTGATGCAGCCATTTCCCATTTAGAGCGGCGTTCCTGCTTTCAGTAGTCCAGAGTTTGTTTTCAGACTCAAGCATCTCTTCGAGCTGTTGAACAACGCACCCAGAGGATTGCACCTTGTTGTAAACACCAAGTACTTATAAGCCTCGGCTCATCGAGTGCAGTATTGGTTAAATGAGCAACAGCAGAACCGGAGAGGCAAAGATATGCTGATGACCAATGTATGTGTGTCACAACACAAACGTACTTCAGGGTTTTTAAGAGTCAGAGGACGACATGCATGCACCACCAAGACCCAGCTTCAGGAGATCCAGAAAGGTTCCCTGAGGAGCAATGTTTCCTCTAAGCTGAGCGCATGAGCAATCGCGCGCTGCTGACATGGTGAAAATCTGTGCTGCGCACAAAAAAAACCCCTGCCTGAATTGGAATTAAAGTAAATACATGTATTTATTTTATTTCGCTGATTTGACTGTGTCAGCAGTGTGAAATTGCTCACGCGCTCAGCTTAGAGGGAACAGTGCTGAGGAGCACCCGGGGAACCTTTGAGCTGCAGGAGGACTGCAGGAGGACTGCGGGGCCCTGACGGTGCTTTCAGAAGGACAAACAGTACCTGCAGGGATCCAGGGGGTGGCCAATCGGTCTCGGTTGTCTCCCTGCTCCCAGTCAAAGTCATCTTCTTTGGACTGGACCAGCGTGCAGTCAGGAGACCGACCAGATAGACAAGCTGAAAAAGAGACAGACAGACACTCGGTTACCTTAGGTGAAACCACAGACAGGATTAAGGAAAAACTGTTAAGGCCCCGGCTTTAAGGCTGTGGACGGGGTTCTCTGATCCATGAATTTCAGGGGAACTGTGGGCTTTGAGTGATTTCTTGGAACCATTTCCAAAGATTGTACAGCAGACAAAAAACAAGTTTGGATTTTCTCCACAGAGGCTCAAATATCTACGCACAGCCCCACTGACGATGAGATAAACATTGGTCGGCGGCGGAAACCTGGCTGGATCTCACTCATATGAGCAGAGTTAGTGAGTTCCTCATCTCCATCACAGCAAGTCCCACCTAAAGACTGAGACACGGAGATGCTGCATACTAATGGCACATTAATGCGATCACAGGATCGACTACACTGTGTTTACAGAACCTCATCAATACGATCATTTCTTCTTCAGTGGTTTAGAAGTGAGGCTGTTATTTCCCCCTCTCTCTATTTGGATGATATAAAATTAATCTTATGATTATTGTTATGAACTGTGGAAAATGAGAAGTAAAGAGTAAAAGGTCATATTAATACTAAACCTGCGATATGAACCCCACTCCATGCTTTAAATGAACTAGGTGAGCAGTCTACAGTCTGTGTTCTGGTCTTCCAGCCGAAGAAGAAACAGAAATTAGAGCTGGTGTAGTAACACTTCTGGATGCTTGGACACTGGAACTGATTTAAGGCTTGTGCAGTTCCTTCTTTCTCCACTGTTAATGCTTCAAACTGTCAGCACATCAGTTACCTGTGGGCCCTCATACATCAGCTGGAACGTTAACCACATATTTATTTCTTCAAGTCTCTTCCTCCCACATGATCGCCACAGCCCCCTACAGGACCCCCACAGCCCCCCACGGGACCCCCACAGGACTCTGTGTGTAGCATGTTGTTGAAATAATTACACAGAAAGTTTAATCAGCTCTGAAGACTCTGCTACTCACTGCTGCATCACTTTAATCAGGACATTTTTATTTATAGACTTTATTAGTATTTTTCTTCCATTGTTTATTCCAGGTGTGGGTTTTTATACTTATTGATTGTGATCACATTATCAGCTCGGGTACTTTGTACCTACATATGATGATGTATTCAGAGTAACTGGGTCACGCGTGTTCGTACTGTGTTTAGTTCCATTACAGAAAGACTGCGGCCCATTTGCCGTTCATTTACTGATGTACAAGACGCACCAACATCCTCAGAGCGAAGCAGGAAACCCGAATGCTCGACCAGTAATCAGCGAATCAATCACCTCATTGATTAATCGCTTCATTGATACAGACGTTCAAGTCGCACTTCCACCTTGTTTCTCGCTCGTCAGCAGAGAGCAGCTTGTAAACATATAATGTTCTTCAGAGTGAGACAGTTCCAGTTCATTACCATTTCCCAGCATGCTCTCTCTCACACACACACACACACACACACGAGGATAATAGATGTAAACCTCCTCCTTCCTCTGTGACTCAAAGATGTCTAAATCCCTCCATTCATGCCGACGCACACACGCGCCTGTGTGTGAGGAGCCGTCATCTGAAAGCGTTGACATTAAATAGCGGGAAGGCTCATTTTCTTTCTTTGTAACAGAAGGCACATTAAACACACACACACACACACTCGTCCCGCTGGGCAGTGTTAGCTCATCAACAGATACCAGACACAATCTGTTTCATTTGCTTCTATCCATGTGCATCTATATAACAAACACACACACACAGTAAGCTCTCTCTCTCCAACAGGAAACCAATCTCATCTCATGATCGCCCAACACTGCAGAAAGAGGTGTGTGTGTGTGTGTGTGTGTGTGAGTGTGAGAGAGACCGGACTGTGACGCTGACGTGTGGTTTTAATGTTTCATGTCGACATCCTGTGCTTTATTCTACCAGAGCAGCTTTGCATGATTCAAAGTTCAGATTAATCCTTCTTTGTCTGATTGGCTGCCCCTCTCCTGGCTTTCACAGAAGCTGCTGCTGTGTGCGGCATCTGAACACACACTATACACCAGCTGACAAACAACATTTCTGAGTGACATGTTCTGATGCTCAATCATCCAGGTGAGGAAACAGAAAATCCCCCAGAACGTTGGTTTTGTTCACCTGGATGTCTTCAGTGGGAGGAACGTTTCATCATCATCATCATCATCATCATCATCAGGTGACTCCTGATGACTCCTGAGGAGAGACGGCATCCATCCCACTTTGGATGGAGCAGCTCTCATTTCTAGAAATATGGACAAATTTATTAAACCCCCCAAAA